GCTTAGGATTTGTATTAGACCAGCTTGTCCTTTTGGTGGCAGGCAGCTGGATATGGTATTCTCTAGTCTAGAAGCAACCAATACCAATGAAGCTATTTATTGATTTAAAAGATGGATGGTACACTAAGCTTCTGACACACAAGAATGCTGGCAAGATATCTGTTTCCTGGCCCTAGTCACATGATTACAGTCATATGACAGGGGATCATACTTCACTGCCCTTAATAAGACGCTGTACCTTTCTTAGGAATGCAGCATGATGCCTTGTGCATTGTTTACACAGGCTCAGGATCTATTTTTGAATTCTCTGTTTAGCTACATTGTGTACCTCCAGTAACCTGTACAGCAACATTTAGGGCTTGTCTAGACTGCATTCCTCTCTCCAAAGAGGAATGCAAATAAAGCAGATAGAAAATTCAAATGAAGCGTGGATTTACAAATCTCATGCTTCATTTGCATAATCACGACCGAGCACTTTTACTTACAAGGTTTTTCCACAATAAAACAGACTATGGGGGACTTGCAACACAGCCTGCTCCAGAGGTGCCTGGAGACCGACCCTCTGTGGGGTTTGCTACAGAAAGGCTGATTTTCTAAACTAACACTTTCCATTTCCTATCACTTTATAAGACCCTGTTTTTAGTTGCTTATAATTTTGCTAACTTCAAACATTTGTGCTGAAATTTCCCATCAATTTTGAGAACATCTCAGTAGAAACAATTTGGCTATTTCTTAAAATGAGTTTGTGGAAAATGTTGCTGCAAACTTATTAAAGCTTTCTTACAACTATTTAAGATGATTCAATATGCCTTGAAAAAAGAGTCTTTGAAATGTGGAAGGGAGCTGACTTTCTGACAGGAATGTTGACTTTATAGAATGTATGAAAGCTACAAAAATTTGACCAAGTTACAGGCCTTTGAAAAATCATATCATGTACACACTGGCTGCGTCTAGACTGTCTACATTGGCTGCTTGAAATTCCGCAAGAACACTGATGATCTCATATAAGATTGTCAGTGTTCTGGCGGAAATACTATGCTGCTCCTGTTCGGGCAAAAGCCCTCTTAAGCAAATGCTTTTGCGCAAGAGGGCCAGTGTAGACAACGTGGTATTGTTTTGCGCAAAAAAGCTCGGATTGTGAAAATGGCGATCGGGGCTTTCTTGCGCAAAACCGCATCTATATTGGCACGGACGCTTTTCCGCAAAAAGTGCTTTTGTGGAAAAGCGTCTGTGCCAATCTAGACACTCTTTTCCGCAAATGCTTTTAACGGAAAAACTTTTCCATTAAAAGCATTTGCGGAAAATCATGCCAGTCTAGACGTAGCCACTTAGTACAGACGTAAAAGAGTTCAGCATTTAAATTCTCAAAGGTCCCATGTACTGACCATACTCTGGCCTGGGGCTTTAGCTGCTCAACAGGACTTTTTGTGTGGCTGTTCCTCCCAGTGGACCAGGGGCCACTGAATATAGAAACAAGAGAGCAGAGCGGCTGTCCCATGTGTGCTCTCAATGCTCCCACCCAGAAGCCACCTGGAATGCAGAGGGTAGAGGTGTGAAGGGGCAAAAACAAAGTTGCAGGTGGAGTGGAGTGGAGTTCGGGAGGAACAGTAGGGGCAGGCAAGGGTAATGGGATTAGTCAGATCTGGGATCAGTCACTTGGGATTCCTTTAACAAAAACTGTGTTGAAAGAAAGTTAAGGTGGAAAATGAAGCACTGGAAAGCTAAAGCAATGCGAGCACTGAGGCAGCCTAGGGGTGGAGGAGCAGCAGATCCTGCACCCACCAGCCCCACGCTATTCGGAAGGGGCAACACCCCCTCCCTTCCCCTCCACTCCGAACTACCCCGTCTAAACACACCCGCTGGGGGGAGGAGAGGAGGGCGCCTCCAGCCCCCTCCCCCATCCTTTTGCCCCACGCGACTCCGCACCACTTCAACCCCCAAAGCCAGAGCTCGAGCCCCTCCCCCCCATTTCGCAGGGCAGGAAGCCACCACCCACGAAGCTTCCCCTCAGTCAAAAGCCCCCTGCGCCGCTCGGCCGATGACGCCACTGACGACGAGCAGCCGGGAGGACCAATAGCAACAGCAAGGTCGGGCGGA